AGACCAACTTGGCAGAACTGAGGAGCCAGATGGGTGAGTGGGGACGAGGGTCACCTGGAGCCCGGAGTGTGTGAGGGCTTGGGGGTGGCTTAGACTACCCCAGGGAGAGGAGTGATTTCAAGGACACTGTGGCAGAGGGAAAGGGGTCTGTGCCAGGAGATGGATGGCAAATCTTATCACCTCTCTGAGCAGCAGTGTGTTTCCATCTTCAGAGAGGGATGGTGTGCCCACTGCCAGTCCCCCACAGTTGACTTGAGCATGGCAGTGTAAGGAACTATATTGGGAAATGACTTGAAGGATTGACCATCATCTAGGCATGAGGAACTATTAGGAAGGCAAGGTTTGAAGTGAGGAGCCTGAATTAAGAGCTGCGGACCCACGAAGAGGGTTCTGAAAAGCCAGAGGTCCAAGTCCCTTATTGTGTGCTTCCTTTCTCAGTGGAGCCCCCACCCGTGGAGCCCCCACCCGGGCCCTCAGAGGCAGAGCAGCAGCTGCAGGCAGATGTGGAGCAGCTGCAAAAGGAACTGGAGAACCTGGCTGGACAGCTCCATGCCCAGGTGCAGGATAACAATAGTCTGAGTCGCCTGAATCGGGAGCAGGAGGAGCGGCTGCTGGAGCTCGAGCGTGCTGCGGAGCTCTGGGGCAAGCAGGAGCGCAAGCAGATTCTGGAGAGCATGCAGAACGACCGCACCACCATCAGCCGCGCACTCTCCCAGAACCGCAAGCTCAAGGAGCAGCTGGCGGAGCTGCAGAACGGCTTCGTGAGGCTGGTGCGTGGCCCATGGGCTCACAGGCCTTCCCCATCAAGTCCTTCTGGGCCTTTCTGTCTTGGCCTTCACCCCACCCCGCCCCCCATGGTGGCTGTGAAGCACCCTGCGAGCTAAAGGCCTCGCTCAGGTGTCTGTGCGGGGAGGGATAACTCTGACTGTGGCAGGTGGACACCCTGGGGTCTCTAGCTGCATTGTATGGCACTGATTCCTGCTTTCTGTTCAGTCGAATGAGAACATGGAGATCACCAGTGCGCTGCAGTCAGAGCAGCACGTCAAGAAGGAGCTGGCCAAGAAGTTGGGTCAGCTGCAGGAGAAGCTGGGAGAGCTAAAGGAGACGGTAACCCTTGCCCCATGTGCCCTCACTGTAGGGGAAGAGACAGCCATGATGGGAGGCTTTATTGCTTCACACAGCTAACCCTGGTTTCTTTAGCTTCAGTTACTGGGCACTAGTAGGGTGCACTTAATAGGTGTGTGGCTCTCTTTGCTTTTCCACATCTGTGGCCTGAAGTTCCGGTGGTGGGGAAAGATGGTTACAAAGCGTGAGGCTAAGTGTTGGAGGCATGGGGCTCTGTTACCCTCCACCACCAACCACCACCGTCACTTATGGGCTGGGATCAAGAACTGGAAGCAAGTCACACTTGCCCTTACACCCAGGGCCTTCCCACAGGTGGAGCTGAAGAGCCAGGAGGCTCAGGGTCTGCAACAGCAGCGAGACCAGTACCTGTCTCACCTGCAGCAGTACGTGGCTGCCTATCAGCAGCTGACCTCCGAGAAGGAGGCGCTGCACAAGCAGGTTCTGCTGCAGACTCAGCTTATGGACCGGCTGCAGCATGAGGAGGTGCAGGGCAAGCTGGCAGTGGAGATGGCCCGCCAGGAGTTGCAGGAGACCCAGGTGAGGGGGCTGCTGAGGCCGGGCCCCTAAGTGGAGGACCTGGCCATTCTGTGCCTTCTCACTCTCTTCCCAATCCCGTAGGAGCGCCTAGAAGCCACCAGTCAGCAAAACCAACAGCTACAGGCCCAGCTGAGCCTCCTGGCTCTCCCTGGGGAAGGTGAGTGAAACCATCCTGAGGAGGGGAGCCTGAAGAGGGACTGTGGTGGAACAGAGTTGAGGAGTTAGAGGAAGACTTCGGAACGTGCTGTTAATCTCTGGGGAGGCTGGCCCAGGGGTACACAGTGAGGGGGCAGAAGTGGACCCTTTTTTTCCTGGGCCTTCCCTTGGGTTGTCTGAGGGATCCCTCTGGCTGTCTGCAGTAGAAGATGAAATGGACGAGGAAGAAAAGGAGGCGGCGGCTTCTCGGCCCAGTTTGACCATCCCAGAGGACCTGGACAGCCGAGAGGCCATGGTGAGCTGTGCTCTCCTGTCCCTTCCCCAGCTCACCTTTTCTGCCTCCCTCTGTGGTCCCTCTGGATGTCCTGATACCTTGGTTTTTCCCACTCCCATTTCCGCCAACACCCACACCTCCCGTGGAGACAGGGATTGGATACGTGCCCCCCTAGGAAAAATAGTGACCCACTGAGGCCCAGGGGAGGGCTGCTCTGCTCTCTGCTCCCTGGTTTGTCCCGAGCATTTTTTCAATAAAAAGGACATGTCTGCCTCTAGGTGGTATTTTTTAATGCGGCTCTAGCCAATGCCGAGGAAGAGAAGGCACGGCTGCGCAGGCAGCTGAGGGAGCAGCAGACACGCTGCCGGCGCCTGGCTTATCTGGAAGCCACATCCCAGAGTGAGCCCACAGAGCAAGCCCTGGTCCCCAGGAGTGGGGACAATTGTGTGTCTGGGGAGAGCACCGAGGCTCTACAGATGGCCATGGAGAAGCTGCAGGTGAGTGAGCCTTTCCCAACAGAGGAAGTGTAGATACAGGACAGGTCCCTCCTGAGTCTTGACCCTGCTATTTTGGCCTCAGAGCCGCTTCCTGGAGGTCATGCAGGAGAAGGTGGAGCTCAAGGAGCTGGTGGAGGAACTGGAACATCGCTGCATCCAGCTCTCTGGAGAGACGGATACCATCGGTGAGCCCAGCTGGGGCCCAAGGCAGTGGGGGTTGCATAGGGGCCTGTTGGGGGAGCCCCAGCATCTGAGTCCTGTGCCCTGCCCTCCCTGCAGGAGAGTATATTGCCCTCTACCAAAATCAGAGGGCAGTGCTGAAGGAGCGCCACCGAGAGAAGGAGGAGTACATCAGCCGACTGGCGCAGGACAAGGAGGAGATGAAGGTAGGAGCCCCTGAACATCTCTTCTCTGCGGGCCTGCAGGCTGGGCGGGGGGCCGGGATACTGAGCATCTCTCCCTTCAGGTCAAGTTGCTGGAGCTGCAGGAGCTGGTGCTGCGGCTTGTGGGGGAGCGTAACGAGTGGCAGGGCAAGTTTCTGGCAGCGGCCCAGAGTCCTGCTGAAACCACCACTCCAGAGCCAGCAAGCCCCCAGGAATTTGGAGCAACTGACAAGCAGGGTGGTGAGTAGAGACCTCAGGACGGGCTGACAGGAGGAGCAGCAGAGGGCTGCTCCATGCTCAGAGGCCTTTCCTCTCTCCAAAGACCTTCAAGAGGTGAGCCTTGCTGACAGCGTGGAGCCGGCACAAGGAGAGGCTGGGGCGGCTTCTCCCCCTGAGAACCACACTGCGCAGCAGATCATACAGCTGCTGCGCAAGATCCAGAACCCCCAGGAACGCCTCAGCCTGGGCACCAACCCCTGCGTCCCCTTCTTCTACCGTGCCGATGACAATGATGAGGTTAAGATCATGGTCATCTAAGTCGGAGGCCGGGGAGGAGGGGCCAGGGACTTTTCCCCCACCTGTCCCTTACCCCCTTGTCCCTGCCATTCCTTCCCAGTTACCCTTTTACCCTTAGGACTAGCAAGTTAAGACCCCTAACAGGGGACAAACAGGTGCAGACCCTTTGCCACCTTGGCTAGGGCTGAGTCTTGATTTCTGGACTCTTGCTCCAGAAAGAGAGCCAGAGGCTCATAATTTTCTAGAGGGGCAGGGCTCTCTAGTGGCCCCCTTGCCCTCACCAAGCAGACCTTCATTTAGGGGGCTCTCTCCTCTTACAAGAGGCACTTTGGGGCAGGCAAGTTGGGCAGCATTTTCACAGCCCTTAAGATGGGGCTCACTGTAGGCCGGGCTGGGGCAGAGTCTGGCGGGGGCAGTCCTCCATTCAGCAGGGCTCCCGTCTTAGAGGCACTTTGGCAGGTCAGCTGGGCAGCATTCTCATGGGTCTTCAAACATTTAGGGTCACTGAAGGCTAGGCCAGGGCAGCGTGGGCGCAGGCAGTCCTGAGAGCTCCCATCCTCAGAAGTATCTTGGGCAGGGCTACTGGGCAGAATTCTCAGGCCTTATGACAGTTGAGGCTAACTGTAGGCCAGGCAGGGCAGAGGCTGCTGGGGGGGGTGGGCCTCCCCTCCCCCCCCCTCCCCCAGTGTACATATTGTACCTGTGTATCATTTTGTAAATTCTGGGGTAGGACTGCCCCCTGTATCATAGTTGGAGCTGGCAAATGGAGAGAAGGGTCTAATAATTATTTGGGATTGGGAAACTTATTTATTGATAGCATAGGACAAAGGAAGGAGGCAGGGATGGGGTTGTGGTGCCCTGGTGATGCAGCTCCTGTTTATTTTGCTTTTTATTTCGGAATAAATGGATTTAGCCATACCGCTCAGCCTTGGATTCCTGTTTGCCGTCCTGGGTCCTGGGTCCTGGGTCCTGCCAGCTGGCAGCACTAAGCAAGGAGTGGTCCTGCCAGCAGAGGGCAGGCTTCTGGACTGCGTGAAGTGTGCCTAGCAGGGCTGTCTGCCATCCTCCAAGCCTGTCCCCTCTACCCTGCTTGGTGAAGCCTGGAGGATTCCAGGGCGATCACCATGGGGGCTCTCAGGGCAGTCCTGTCCTAATGTGTGAAGATGCGAGGTTTATCTAACAGTGGGGAAGGGTCACAGGATGCAACACCTTAGGGTGTCAACTTCCAGTCCAGACTTACCATCCCCTGGCCTGTCCACACCTGGGAGCCTCTTCCTCCTGGCTGTCCCTTCAGAGTGCCCACCCCAGCCACAGGTTCTCCCTCTAGGCTGTTTGTGGCCCTGCCCCCTAGTGGCCACAGCCGAGTTCACAGGATGAGAAGTTCACCTCCAGGTACTTTAACCACCTTCACACTCCTTACAGCATACTAGCCACGGCCCTTCTTCACCCAGCCCGTGCGCAGACCTTCCCCTCCCCGCAAGCCCCACAGAGAACACAAGCCAGCAGAGGACACACGGTTCCCCATCGTCCAGGAATGAGTTTTATTCTCAGCCGAGAGCAAGACTGGAGGCCTTCAGAGAGCCAGCAGCTGCCAGCACAGTGCCCCCATGCTTCGAGCGGCAACGGAAGGATGGCTGAAGGGGCTGGCTGTCCACAGGCCGAGCAGGACAGAGAGGCTCACTGAAGGTGGCACACTGTGGAGCCGGGAACATCAGGGCAACAGCATTCCCTTGTATTTGGGCCACACGACTCCACAAGGACAGCATGGTGACTGATTCCCAACACTAGAGGCGCGGCTGAGTCAGCCATATATATGTATATATATGTATAGAGTATTTATAGATATTTATAGAACAGGGCGGGAGCAATACCACAGAGGGACACAAGTTTTCACCAACGTCACGCCTGGATGTGTCAGCTCACCACTACGGCAGACTAAGTCACAGATGAAAAGGGATGCTTTGGGGCCGGGGTGGGGGGCCACTGTCAAGTCACAGAGCAGCTGTCCAGGCAGGCTTGGAGAGGGAGGTCTCCGAGGAATAGGAGGGATCTGGTTAGAGGTCGAAGGGGGGCCTGGGGCTCTCAGGACGGGACGGACTTGCCTGACCCGATCGGCTGGCAGTTGGAGAGAGAACCAAGAGAAAACGAGAGAGAGAAGGAAGGAGAGAGCTGGTAAGGCAGGAGCAGCCACGCCCTGACAGGTGACGCAGCTGTGGGCGTGGGCAAGTTTCTGGAAAAGAGGAAACTGACAGATGGACAGATAGAAAAGGGAAGGCAAATGGAATGGAGGAGCTGGAGGTGGCTGGACCAGCGCTCCCAGTTAGCCTAGTGCAGGCAGGGCAGCCCTGCTCCACCACACACACAACCTTCACTCGCCACCCAGGCAGTGCTCCCACAGTTCAGACACGAGCCTGGCCGTGGGGCCACCCCACCTCTGATTACCCTGTGTTCTACCCCTAGCCTCCACAGCAGCCACCAGGCTGGAAAGAAGACTTGAACCAGGAGGGCAAAGCTAAAAGGGGTGAAGGAGCACTGGAGGCCCCTCGGTGATTGGAAAGCCCAGGAGTCCTCTGAGGGGACCCGGGGGGAAGGGGAGGCAGGCAGCCGGATGCCAGTGGCCACAGACTTATAAGTCTAAGAGGGGAGCCTCAGCTGGTCGGGGGGCTGCAGGTCGCGTAGGTGAGGCTGGGCCCTTCCTGCTGGGGAAAAGCAGAAGAGTGAGAGTCAGTGGCCAGGGAATGGTGGCAGGTGGGGTCACCGGGCACATACTGTGGCCTGGCCAGGTGGAACTCAGAGACTGACTCGCCCAAGTTAGCAGACACTGTTGTCCCCTGGCTGAAAAGTGTAGGTCACCCTTAGGAGCAACAGGCCAAGATGCAGGAACCCAGGGCTGGCTGAGCTGCTTCACCTGGGGCTGAGGACACTGCCTTCTGTCACAAGGAGGCAGGGAAGGGAGCTCTGTGTCCCTGCCTCATCTGGACTGACAGTGTGTATAAGACACTCAGGCTTTCAGAAATCAAACAACCACAGCGTCCACTCAAGCCCCTGCCCTGGGGAGGACTTGGTTTCCAGAGCTCCCAGGCCAGGAGGAGTAGGATGCCATGCCACAGCTACTGGCTCAGACTGGGGGCTGGATGTGGAATGCCCAGGATGAAGTTCAAAGGCCTCTAGCCTCCTCAGAGATCAACTGTGTGCACAACTCCTCCAAGGTCCCAGCCCGTTCACCATAAACCATGAGCTCTCTGGCCTCTTGGTAGCTCCAGAGAGCACCCACATCTGCCATTTTGGGCAGGGAGCCTGTCCATGGAGGCATTGGGCAGCGGTGCTGAGTCCCGAGGCTCGCTAAGAAGGGAGGTAAGAGAGCCAGCTGGCAGAGGACAGAAAAGAAAGAGGGAGTCTGGAGCTGCAGAAGGGAGAGGGAGGGGGCCTGCTCTGAGTCCCAGCTTGCACCCCCCCAGCATGGAGCTGGTGCAGTGGGGTCAGACACACCGTTCATGCAGCAGGCCGAGAGCATGTACCTACCGTGGCTGACATTCCTCAGGGGTCACTGATAGTGATTCTGAAAGACAGCACGAAATCAACAGGGCAGTTCACACGCACAAGTGGGGCAGGCCTGGGGGCAGGGGACACGCACACGCACACGCCCGGGCGTGCACACACATGCTGTGAGGCCCCACGGCCCTGCATGCACACGCTAACACACATGCCCACAAACAACACGCATACACTTCCCTCCAACCACCTCCCAGTGCCCAACACCCTTGCTGGTTGGCTCGTGCAGCATGGATCTGGGGCGTGCAGCATGGATCTGGTGCATGCAGCCACTCGGCACACTGAAGCACACGCGTGGGCTGTCACAATACAGAAGCTTGCCTGCACACAAGGCATTTGCACCAGCTCCCTGCAATCTTGTGCCTAATGTGCTCACAGGGCCACTGCACAGCTCTACAAGGGAAAGTCTTGCTTTCTAGGGCCAAGCTGTCATTTCTCTGTCCAAGAGCCTTCCAAGGCTCCCTACTGCTTATAGCAGAGTCCCAAGTCAGTCTCTTCTATGAAGGTTCTCCAACCTGCCCCTCCTTATCCACACTTTCCTTATTGTCTGTACTCTGCCCAGCCAGCAGCTCTCCTTAGTGTAGTCCACACTAAATCTGCCCATATGTCTTCTCCCAACCCAATGTCCTCTGGATTCTTTACACCTGAGCTTTATCTCCATCATGCCCCATTCCCCACTAAAGTCAAGCTGCTTGAAGAAGCTCCTTCAGTCTGCTCCTTCCCCAGGCAGAGTCATCATTTGCCAGATGTTTCCCATATATCATTGAGAATGGAATTAGAGCAGGTACCTGATCTGACAGTTCTCATATGTTATACCTCAGCAGGGACCTGGGCAGGTGGAATACCCATAGAGTCTGAGCTCACATTGGCAGTTGGCAAAGTGCTCCTATAGCCACATGTGTCGTTTGGCATCCCTACAGCCCTTGTCTCCCTTGATCCCCACACCAACCCTGAGAGAAAGGCAGAAAGTTAATTATCATTCAGTAGAAGGGAAACTGAGGCCCAGGGAGGGAAAATGACTTGTCTAAAACTAGGTCAGGGTGAACCAGCATTTCTAGACTCCCAGTCCAGTGCTCCTGCCCAGTGCCGCGCAGCTTGCCTTCACCCCATCTGCTTTGGTCATCATATCCTCAAAGAGCAGGCCCCATGCCCACTTCATTTGGGTATGGGAGGCTAGAACTCCAGCCCCACCCTCCAGCTATCTGGAAACAGATGCTATTGGTCTGTTTTTCCTCAGAGAATGTGGCCAGTGGATATAGGGCAGACTAAGTGAGATATTGGAGTGAACTTCCTTAAAGAGGATCATGGATGAAGAAGGCCCAGGACTGGGGATATGGCTCAGTGCTGCCTGGCATGAGTAAGGCCCTAGGTTCCATCCCCAGCACTGCAAAAGGAAAAAAAAAAAAAAAAAAGGAGCAAAACTAAAATCCAAGGGAAGGAAAGAATCCTTTTCTCTAGAAATCTCTGGAATTCTGGAATGGGGCAGCCTATACCTACTCCTACTCCTTCCCCACCCCTACCACATTGGTCCAGAGGAGGTAGGAAGGGTCAGAAGCAGGGAAAAAGGAAAGGCCACCAGATTGTCCCATGGCTTCCAAAATCCTTCCCCACCTGCTTCCTGTCCTATCCATGCCTGGGTTCCACTCACACTCACACCTGTGTGCACGCCCACACACACATCACACACCTTGCTGGTCACACAGTCGCAGTCTGGCCTCTCTTCCTGTGGGCCAGAAGCTAAACACCACCCTGGGTCAGACAAGTCAAAAGAGGGCTAGAAAACGGGGGATCAAGTAGCCCTGAGTGTAACAACACAATCCTCATGGTCCACAGAGGAAGGTTCTGGGTTCAGGTCCCTGGGCCTGAGCGAGGCTCACCAGGAGAAAGGAGGACGTAATGGAGAACTGAGAAGAGAGGAGGAAACAAGGCAATGTTTGGGGGGCCAGAAGTGAAAAGAGTGAAGCGCCATGCAAGTGCTGGAGAGAAGGGAGCAGGTGGGATGAGCCCCACAGCCGTCCCCAGAAAAGAGCACCTGCGGGACTCAGCTGGCTTCGCCAGCCCTTGGCCCCACGTCCATGGCTCCTGCACTGGGGACCGAGTGCCTGGGATGCAGCGGGTCGGCTCTGGCGACCGGGCAGCTGCTCTAGAATCCGACTTCATCTCCCACCCGGCCACGCCCACCCGGCGGCCTCTCCCGCCGCAGTCAGACCCTACTCACCTGGGGACCCCAGGCGGGGCGCGGTTGGGGCGCGAGGGCACCTGGGGAGGGGGGCCGAAGGGGTCAGGGGAAGCCCCCGGCCTGGAGGGCACGGGGGGCGCCCCCCCCAGGGCGGACCCAGCAGGCGGAGGCCCAGGAGCAGGGCCCCGCGACCCGGGCCGGGCTGGGGGCACGGCGGGGGCTCGGCGCTGCGGCGTGGGGCTGGACGTGGGCGATCTGCGGGCGACAGGGACAGAAGAACCCGAGATGAGCCGTCCGCCCCAGCCTGAGGCCCCGCCCCAGCCCAGTGCCGGCCACGCCCATGCACGCAAGCCCCGCCCCAAGGTGGTGGAGGGAGCCTAAGCCCCGCCCCTAGCATCACCAATGATCCGGCTCCGCCCCGCAGCCAGCGCTCCACGGCAAGCCCCGCCCCGCGTTAAGCCCCGCCCTTTCTAAGCCCCGCCCCTCGCTCCAGGTGGGAGCCGCCTCGGCAACTCGGGCGCGCCACTGCCCGGTCCCGGCCTTCCTCCCGCGGGCCCCGGGCTTGGGGGCTTTGGGGCCGTGGGGGCCGGCCCTGGTACCTGCGTCCGGCCGGTACGCTCTGCACCTGCAGCCAGGAGTCGTCCACGGGCGGGGGCATAGGCGTGCTGACGGTGGTCGTGTTGATGTCGCCGATGATGCTGAGCGCCTCCTTCAACGCGTGATACATGCGCAGCATCTCGTCGCGCCGCTGCGCCTGCTCCGCCGACTCCTCCATCAGTGTGTTTTGGTCCCCGCAGGAGTACAGGTTGGCCAGCAGCTCTGAGAAGATGAACTCCTTGGTCTGCGGGCGAAGAAGGGAGGAGCGTAGGACCTGATGCCTGTGCTGCCTTGCCTTCCCCCCAGGCCCTGCTGGGGCAGTGCGCCCGACTGGGAGCGAGATTCAGTTTTCAGTTGCGACTTTGAGCCTAACCTCGGGGATATCCTGCCCCACTGCACTGCACTTTTCTCAGAAGGGGACCGTGAACTCCAAGGCGGAAGAGTCACCTGTCCAAAGTCACAGATCTGGGAAGAGACTTAGAACCTAGTATGCCACAAGGACACACTTGTCTGTTCAGTTTTTTTGAGCCTTTCCAAGAACTTTCATGCTCCACTAAGGAAGATAACAGTTTAAAATGCTCTGAGCCCTTGAGACGGTGCTCAGCGGTCTTCAGCGCTGTTCGGTAGCAGCTGTAAATGTGTGCCTAGACTGAGTGAAACGCGAGTCTGTGCATGGGGATACGTTGTTAATGTTCCCCTTAAAATCTCCAGGTGTTACTCTGCACAGGTTTTGCGTTATTCATGGCTGAGATTTTGACACCCAGTCTCATTTACTCTTTATTCAAATACACGTGGAGCACCTGTCCTGTGTCAGGCATTGAGTTGCTACACACTGTATATGCATTGAATCTATTATCAACATCTATACTTTACATGTAAGGAGACAGGCTTAGATTGGGTAGTTTATTTTCCCAAAGTCACACAGGGAATTTGTGGCAAAGCCAGGATTCAAACTTAGTTCTACTTCCCTGGGGACCTGGTTTTTCACTAAGCCACAAGTTATGAAGGAGCTGGAAAATGTCTGGGGGTTCTCAAAAGGTGCTGCTCTTGGAAAACATTTATGTATGTTTGGGACAACTTGGCTATGTGCATCTGCTTTTTCAATTGTAAATTTCATGAAATCTAAATTTAGATCATTTCCAATGGCAATTTAATATCTGAATCGGATTTGGAAAATTTAGTAGAAAAGTATGTAAAGTATCTTGCTAATATTCTAGATGAGTACATACTGAAAAGAATATTTTTGATATCATGGACTTAAAATATAAAGTTTTGTTTTCTTTTGGTTGTGTGTGTGTGTGTGTGTGTGTGTGTATGTTTTGCTGGGAACTGAATCTGGAACCCAGAGCCTTAAGCATGTCAGGCACAAGCTCTACCACTGTACTATATCTCCAGTTTTCTTTTCACTTTTTTTTTTTTTTTTTGGTACTAGGGATTGAACCCAAGGGTACTTTACCACCGAGCCACATCCCCAGCCCTTAAAAAAAAAATTAATTTTGAGAGAAAGTCTCACTAAGTTGTTCAGAGCCTTGATAAGTTGCTGAAGCTGGCTTTGAACTTGTGATCCTCCTGCCTTGGCCTCCCAAGCCACTGGGATTACAGGCCGGTGCCATAGTCCCCAACTACTTATTTTTTTTTTAACATGGCTATTAGAAAATGTAAGATTATAGACTAAATCCACGTTATATTTCTGTTGGACAGCTCTGGTCTGTATATCACTTCCCTTTTGAGACCTGGTCCCTTGGACTGGCCAGTGTCTCCCTCAGATTGCCTTCCTCCCTGGTCCCATGGGAGCACCCATCCTCCCACCCCCTGCAGCGATGCACGTACATTGTTAATCATGAGGTGCATGATGGTCTTGGGCATGAGGTCCCGCACTGTCTTGTTGACAATGGCCATGTATGAGTCTACCAGGTTCCGGATGGTCTCCACCTGCCGTTCCAGCTGTGGGTCCATGGAGTGCATGAAGCTGTCTGAGCCATTCTCCTCCGACTCGCTGGCCTGCCATTGGGAATAGAAGGGCGTCGGCATGGCCACGTCTGGGCAGCCAGGCTGCAGGCATACCAGGACCCAGCCCTCCAGAGCTCTCAGGAACACTGAAGCGCAGAGAGCAGCACAGGGCTCTGCCCACCCCTGTGCCTCTCATTCAGCCTGTCTCAGTTCTGACTCTAGTGCCTAGACTTTGCCTCAGTTTCCCCATCCAGACATTAGAGAAGGACATCTCAACTTCCCTGTGTGAAGATCTGGACAGACTGATACCAGGCTGGAGTGCCTGGCAGGAGACAAGGGAGGGCACACTCACTTTCTCCTTGTCCTGGGAGGCCCACACCAGAGCCACAGAGGCCACCACATCAGCATTGCCACCGCCGCCACCACCAGGGAGCAAGACGAAGCAGACACACAGAGGAAAAGAGGAGCAATTGAGTGAACCCAGGGCACTGCACCCCAACTCTATGACGACTCTAGACACTGCCAGAGCAAGAGCAGAGAAGAGAGGCAGCCACAAGAAACCGCCATCGAGTGAAGGGGTGCAGGAAATGCCATCTGTGGCAGGACAGGGGACACACAAAACCGCCACTAGAGAAGGATGGGAGGATCAGAGCACTTAACTCTGGCGGGGTGGGGGTGCCTGCTCTGTGAACCACATAAGGGCTCAGAAACCTGGCACGACTTGGCCTCTGTGAAGGGGAAGCCCTGAGGCCTACGGTACAAGCAGCTTGCCCCTCCCCTCCCTGCCCTTCCTCTCACCCCAACACGCTCGGGGTACACGCCAGCCCTCAGGAAGGAGGCCTTCCAGCTGTCCACCTCCTCCTGTGTCTCACAGGCCAGTTCCAGCTGCCGATAATCCTTGTAGACATTCCTGCAAGATGCAGCAGGCGGGGAGGGAAGTGGGGTGGAGCCCCACCCCTGGGGGTTAAGGGCAGGCCTGGACTTTGAGATTGTCACACTTAGGGTCCAGCCTTGGCTTTGCAGTATCCCAGCTGTGTGACTCCAAGCAAGTCCCCTCCTCTTTCTAAGGCTCAGCTTCCTCATCAGCAATGATTGTTCTCTTATGGTTATTGTGAGGCTGAAAAGTACTTGGAAAGGGACCAAGCCCTGAACCGTAGGGACACTAAAGCATGCAGCCCTGGCTTGGGACTCAGACCTCTACTGGCACCTTCCTGAGGACTTTCCCAGGGGAAGTGGTGCTAAACCCTCATCTCTGAGTAGGAGAGGCCTGCAGGCTGGGGCCTGGGGTTGTGGGTGAGAGGCCTGGTGCTGCCACTGGCCCCAGAAGAAACTGGGCAATGCAAGAAGGGACAAGGTCTAAGCAGGACTCTTCTCTGTCCCCAGTGCCTGTCAGAGCATCAGTGCAGATCAGGCATTAAGCAACTGACTGAAAGGGAGGGAGGAAGGAAGAAGGAAGGGCAAAGAGAGGAAGAGGAAGAGATCTAGACATGATGTCCAGAGCACAGGACAAAGTCAACAGATGTGGGTCAAATAAATGGCTCCTTGTGAACCTCGGGCAGGTCCTGCTCTTTCCTGGAAAGTACCCAGTTTCTACTCAACAGGAGTGTTTGGGGGCTTGCAGAACCTGGGGCCTCAGCAGCCCCGCTGGGCCAGACAGGTACCTCTGCTCTGTGTTGAAGAGGGCAAATATATGCTTGCTGGACATGAACCCCTTCTCCACGTCACGCAGCTTCAGGTTATCCACAGACAGCATGTATTTCTTCTCTTTCTCCTGTGGGTGGAGGGAGGAGCCACGGGTGAGGTTGGCATGCCATGCCTCAGTCCCCAAGTGTTCCACGCTGGTCAGCACCTAGGGCTGAAAAGTACTTGGAAAGGGACCAAGCCCTGAACCGTAGGGACACTAAAGCATGCAGCCCTGGCTTGGGACTCAGACCTCTACTGGCACCTTCCTGAGGACTTTCCCAGGGGAAGTGGTAGGCTTCTGGGTGCTAGTCCCTCCCACCACACAGGTGCTGCCCAATAAAACCTGTGGGACCCTGACTTGAATGGGCACCACCAGCGCCCCCTGACTTCAAGCCAATCCAGCAGCCCTGCATATACCCCAGAGCCCAAGGCGCTGGGGAGGCAGGGGAGGCAGGGGAGGCTGAGTGTGGGTCCCACAGCCCACCCTAAGCGAATCCTGGAGGCAAGCCAGGCCAGCCCCAGGCAGGGACAGCTCACACGAGTCTTTCTCGCCCCTGGCCTGGTGGCCTCTGACTTCATTTCCTGACTACAGAGACAGGGAAGGGGGGCCACCAGCCTGGAGCTCCAAAGGGCCAGCTCAGCCCACTCCCCCAGCTGCCCATGTGTTAGCAATCAGACGCACAGCACAAGCCCAGAGATGGAGTGTCTGTGGTTGTGCACGTGTGTGGTTACATTTGTGCAAGCACAGGCAAGCCTAAGCATGCATCCTGTCACTGTTCTGTGGGTGTTCATGTGTCTGTGGTACACAGAGGTATGTGCACGTGTGAGTGTGACCATGCTGTGTATGGGTGTGGATGTGTGCACACTTTGTGGAAGTGGGGCAGTTGTGAATGCCTGTGTGTTTGCGTGCATGTGCCCACAGGACCTGTGCGTGGGAACACAGATTTACCTACATACAGTGTGTGCAAGGAGCTAAACATGTTTGGTTGGCCCGTAGTGTGTATCTGTGAACATACATGCATCTCTAGGCTGCTGTATCCCAGGGCGGGGTTCAGGGATCTCAGGAGAAGGTGTCCCAGGCCAGGGCTCCAGGAGTGGGAGGGGTTTCTGCTCCACCCAATTGCCCACCCAACACCATGGGACCTGTGTTGGAGGGATGATCTCCAGGGGACTCAGGATCTGGACAGGAAAATCACTTAAGGTCCAAGTAGGGAAGCTGGGTTTAGGGGGACTTTATTTCCCCGTCCTGGCGCGTCATCCTTTCCCCCCTCACCCCCACACCCGACTGGCCCATGCAGCCACATAAAGCCCTCTTTATGCCAGGCGGGTGGCCGCTAGCCCCAGAGGGCGGCTGGGGGAGGAGAGGAGGAAGTTGCACACACGGCCAGGGAACATCTGGAACCGTTCGAGGGAGGCCCGCCACCCGCCCTGCGCTTGGGGGTTGGACACTAGGTAGGAGCGGCCTCCTCCCCCACCCCTCCTTTCCTGCCGGCCAGCCCCCTCCCCAGGCCCCTCCTTCCCAGCCCAGCTCCCGCTCACCCCTGCCACGTCAAAGGAGGCAGAAGGGGACTCCAGAGCAGAGAGGGGACTGCGGCTGGCCGGGCTGGGGCTGGGGGACACGGGGCCTGGGTTGGGGGGCCTTGGGTCTCCAGGCCATGGAGCTGAAGCTACACCGGACGGTCGGACACTGCTGCCTGGAAGACCAGAGGACACCTCCACTCCGTCTACCCAGTGTTTAGACTATCTGTTCAGGACTCCCGCATTGTACAGTAGTCTGCACATTGGTTAGGCTGGGCTGGGTTAGACCCTCGGCGCCGCCGCTGCAAGCTGGACCGATCCGCCTGCCATCCCAGAACCGGAGCCCGCAGCTGGGGCAGGGGACTTGGGGGCACAGGGTGGGCTGGGAGGATGTGCAGAGAGATGGGGTGCCACCCTGCTGTGGGACTGGTGGGGAGTGGGGGGGTCAGCGGAGGAAGGCTGGGAAGACGGGGTCCCGGGGAGCTGGAGAGGTGGGCAGCGCCTGTCTGCCCCGAGGGCCTCCCTCACCCCAGACGCAGGCAGCTGGGGGGAGAAGGAAGCTGGACCCTAGCCTCTGTGTGCCTCCATGTCCCCAGCAGTCCTGGTGCAAAAATCTACTCACACCCCTGCCACACACCTCCACACGCACCAGCACAACTCACACACAGACACTGACGCCCATGCCTGCGCCCCAGGCACACTCACACTTCACAAGTGCACACACACGTGCACGCACACACACCCAGACACACAGTCTCACAGCGTAACACCCTTCCCCCACCCTTACACCCCAAACTTCCCACGCGCTCCCTCCCTCTCAAGCCCCCATCCCTACACGCACACCCCAAGCATAGGCACGCAGAGTCACACTGAAGCACACATTCACACCTGGTGCTCACACCCTAAACACACCCATCTGCACCCCCCCCACAACATCCACAAGCTACAGCCCCGTGCCCCAGACACAGAACACAGGCCCCCCCCCACTCCTCAGCCAGTTTTCACACGCAGCTAAACTCCACCGTACACACAAGGCTTCAGAAGGACCCATACCCACAGGTGTGAGGACAAGGGACCCTCTCAGTCAAGTTCACTCCTCCCCAGTGTAGCCAGGCACAGGGAACAACAACCCCCTGGCCCTGTGTAAGAAGCCCCCATAGAGTAACACGGGACCCATGGAGGGGTGTCTAGGGAGCCTGCCAGGGTGACAGAGCAGGAAGCCACCCCCCAACGGCGCCCCATGCCACCTCACACTCCATCCCTTCCAGGGGCCTCTGGACTCAGGGAGAGGCCAGGGTTAGGGTAATGAGGTCCAGATGGCTTGGCGCCCCCGCCAGTGACGACAGAGGGCCCCGCCCAAGGGGGGAGGTGGGGCCCCTGCCCAGAGCAGACTTGGAGGAGACAGGGACTAAGGAGGGGACATGGAAACCAAAATCACTGGCCCCCCACCCCAAGACTTACTCCCCATCGACAGCACCCTAACCTCCAATGGTCCCCTCAGGAAGAAGGGGGGTCCCTTCCCCCACTCCTTGGCCAGCTGGAGTTCATTACCACAGTCTCCCCCAGCCCTCCCTGTTCTCTCTGGTCACCTCTGGAATCCAGATGTGGACGCCAAACAGACTCATTCTTAAAGGAGACCAGCAACAGGGGAGGGAGGTGGCAGGGGTTTCCGGGTGCCGTAGTGGCAGGGAGGTGTTCTGTGGGTGGCCCTGCAGGGCACCATCGCTCCTTGCCCCTCGGCCTGGAAGCACAATGGCCAGCTCCCTTGGATATCAGGGGCCCGGGGGACTGGGGTGCAGGGGTTAACCGCATGTCTGGCAGCTGGACTCGTGTGTGTCATGGGCCTGTAGGGGCCATGGAGGAGGCGGCACGCCCTGGAGTGAGAAAACAGGAAGGCCACTGGACTGGCGGGTCAGGGCCCACCCTCTCCAGGGCACTCAGCCCGAGCTCCCGGGTCCCACCAGCTCACCTTCTCCTTTCACCTTGGGCGAGAGAATCCTCCCTCAGAGCCCGGGACTGGCTGCCTCCGGACCTTGCATCCTACTCTACCCATGAGTCTTTTATGAGACTTTAAAAAACCCTGTGGTGTGGTGGAGGACACTCCAGGTGCAGGACAGGGTCTGAGCCTGACTCTGCTCACCTCATCATCCTTATACCAGGAAAGATTCTCAGCAGTCAGCACAAACCAGTACTCCTTGGAACCCCCCTTCATGATGCCAATATTATTGATGGTCAGCCAGCCCTTCCGGATGACCTGGACGGGAAGAGGCAAGGAGGTCAGTGGGCAGGGGCCAGGCTTCCCCATGGAGGATGGGGTAGGCAAAGAAAGGCATTTAAAAGCCCACCCCCGCCAACACTTGGAGGCCCAACTGGTCAGGGAGGGTGAAGGCCAGACCTTTCCTGGTTTGAACCACAAGTGAACAGAGTAGGAGACAGAGGAAGGCAGAGGTCAGCTCCGGATGAGGGGCCTCTACAGCAGAGCTCTCTGAGCAAAGGGCTGGAGGCTTTGGTTGAGAGTGAACTCCCTGTTGATGTAAGTGTGCAAGAAGCTGTGGCTGAGTGGGGAAGACAACCGCAAGGGTCTTTTAAGTTTTAGGTCTAATCTTCCTAAGACTTACTTCTGACCTCAGGGACTCTGCACATGCTGTTGTTGCCTCTGCCTAGAAAGTACTTCCCCTTCCTTTGGGTGTCAACTCAGGATTTACGTTCTCATGCAGGCCCTCCCTGGCCCACCATGTAAACCAGGATCCCCATGATAATCTTTGATCACTCCCTTAGGTCTTCTATAATGATGACAGCAATTTTTTTTTAATATACTGTGTGTGTGTGTGTGTGTGTGTGAGAGAGAGAGAGAGAGAGAGAGAGAGAGATTATCTGTTGATGCAGCATCCTCTGCTAAACTGTGAACGCTCTTGCTCATAAGTGTAACCCAGAGCCCTGCACGATTCTTGGAAGACTCGGTTTGTTCTGTGGTGTGAACAATGAATGCTACACTTGTACGGTTCTAGCAATCTTTGCCCCATGCTCCCTGGGGTAGGGGAAGCGGATGAATTACCTAGACCCTCTTCTTCGTAGGGAAAGCTCAGAATTACAGTCAAAGGTCCCTTTTCATGACAAAAAGCAGCGGTCCCCAGGACTGTCCTGAACACTGCCACAGACCAGGACCTGTGAATGCCACTCCACTGGCAGGGTCACTGTCCAGAGAGGATGAGAGAGCTGCTTCTCTCTGGCTCTCACCTCCTTGCTGCATCTCTGAGCTTCCAGGAAAGACCCAAGGAGGCCTGGACCTGCTTCTGAAGCCCCAAAGCCCTTCCGTGGCACTCCTCACCTGAGAAGTCAAACCTCACAGCCAATCAACAGCCAAGCGGAGGGGGGATCACAGGGGCCTTGGCAGGTTAACAGGGACACAGAGACAGGTGTCCACCATCTCTTGCCTGCCCTATCAGTCCGGCAAAAAGCCCCGCAGTGTCTTGTCACTATCTTTGGAACTGAGTCCACTCCATATCCCAGGATCTGGCCAGCAGGGCTGCCACCTACTCTCTGCTGACCTGCAGCCTTTGTCCTCTCCTGACCACTCCCAGCCCTGGACTCTTCCCTGCATATCCAAAGCCCCTCTCTGCAGCCCCAGCGCCAGAGAACTCCCACCCTACCTGGAGCCCTCAGGTGGCAGGGGAGGCTCTGCCTCCTGTCCAGGGACTGACACCTGTGAGTTCTGGCTCAACTGCATTTTCCTAGGACATTACGTCCACTCAGGCCTGTCTTTTATGGAGGATCTACTATGCACCAGGCTAGGGGCTTGGGGCTGAGGACTTAATAATGAGCAAGACAGACTCAGCCCTCCCCTTGGGCCTGGGAGGGAAAGAGACATTGAGCCAACAGTCACACCAACACCTAGATTCTTACAAGGAAACTACAGTTTGGGGAGACTACTGGGGAAAGTGCTGATGCTCTAGGGCTCGTGTGTACAGCTGGGGTCGAGCAAGGGCTCCTGATGAGTGGTTTCTGCAGACATATGAAGGAAGAAGAGCAGGAAGCCAGGTGAGGAGGGACTCGCCTCTGGACTTCCTCCATCTCTTTACCCAACTCTGGTGAAGGCCATCAGCTTCCTACAGGCCTGTCCCCACAAGGATGAGTGGATACACTCATCCAACATCCACCCCAGTATTCACTCGCCCATCCATTCATCCACCCATCCGTCCAACAGATGTCTAAGGAGCAGCTCCTAGTATCAGGCCACCTGCCCACATGGTCTAACTCTGCCTGAAGCAGGTGCTTGGCTCACACACCCTGATGGATGGGTGGATGGGACCGTGCATGGCTCGGCCTTGCTTGGCCAGTGAGCAGGTGTGGGACACTCATGTGCCAGTGTGTGCAAGTGATTCAAGCCAAAGGGTGCCCTCTTGCCCACTGCAGACCCCCATTTCCAAAGGGCCCCCTCCTCCCCCTCACTACAGAAGCCAAAGAACCCCAGTCCTGGTACTCACCAGAATCTCATCCTGCAAAGAGGTAACCATAGCAACCACGAGAAGCATCGGGGAGAGAGGAGAGAGGGTTACTGAGGCAGAGTGGGATGCTTGTGGCTGGCAGATGACAGGCTCCCTGGCCCCCGTAGGACCCTTCCCCTCAGGGGAGGGGGGTTCTCAGAGCTTGGCGTCCTTCCGGCACCCTCCATCCCTCGAGCCGCTGCGATGCTGGGGCCCACTCACCTGGTTGCCTGAAGCCTTCTTCTTGTTCATCTGGTTGCTCCTCTGCTGAGCACTAAGAGGAAGGGAGGGAGGAGCCTCAGAGCTTCTCAGCCCCACCGCCCACTGTGCAGGGGCCACAGGACCCAGAGGGCTACCCTGGCAGGCTCAGCCCTGTGTCCGCCTACACCTGCCACATCACGCAGTGTGTCACCTCTGCTGCGCAGGGAGTGTACTCACTTGGCAAAGCCTATGAAGTCCTCGTGGTTGGTGTTCATGTAAGCCAGCTCAATATCGATGAGAAGCATGACCTTCGGGGTTACGCAGGTCAGCAGCAAGTGGAAAAGACCACAAAGTTTAAAAATGGATGACCATGTGGGAGAAAAACACTTGCAGCACATACAGAAGGTTAGCATCCATTAAAACCACCAAGTTAATAACAATAAATTCCCTACAATCAGTGAGTGAAAGATAAAAGAAACACAAATTAAATAGCCAACAGTCAAAGAGTCAAAGGCCATGAATGGGCAATTCATGGAGGAAAAGGGGCTCACCTTCAATAATAGAGAAATGTAAGTTCAACAAGGAGGCCCTTTCTCAACCTATTAATAATAATAGGGGGCATTATACTCTTAGTGGAAGAGTTTGTTTGTTTGTTTGTTTTTGGTGATGCTGGGTGTTGAACGAGGGCCTCCCACATGCTACCACTGAGCCCCAGCCCCAGCCCAGGTGGTATAAATTAACTTCACCTCTTGGAGGGCGCTTTGGCGATTTTTTAAAAATATATTCACTTTACTTATTTTTATGTGGTGCTGAGGATGGAACCCAGTGCCTCACATGTGCGAGGCAAATGCTCTACCATGAGCTATAACCCCAGCCCTGGCAATATTTAACAACAACACTGAAATGCACATACTCCCTTCCAATACGCTCACCAATTAAACAAAGGTATAGGTACCAGAGCGTTCAGGGTAGTTTATTTTTGTTGTTGTGGTTGTTATATGTTTGTTTTGAGACAAGGTCTCACTATGGACAGCCCAGGCTGTCCTTGAACTCCTGGTCGGATGATCTTCCTGCCTCAGCCTCCCCGTAGCAGGGACTATAGGTATGCACCACCATGCCTGGCTGCAGTATAATTGGTAATAGAGAAAAATTACCAAGAAGCCAGTGGCCATCAGAAGGTGAAGTAGATTATGGCACTCCCTAAACCATAGGCAGTCTGCTGCTGTTCAGAAGAATAAGGAGAACTTCTAGGAGCTGTCTTGGGACAACAATTCCCCAGGCACATTATGAAGTGAGAAGAGACTCGTGAGGAGGCAGGCTGCCTGCCCAGCTCCCACCTGGCTGCTTCCTGGGAGCCTGGGGCCTGTCCTCACTGAGCCTAAAATCCTACAAATGAGATGCTTCTGCCTCACAGGGCTGGTGTAGACACAATGAGGTGAGGCCGGCATGCGCCCAAAATATAATAGGTGCTCAAAGATGTGAAGTGCTATAATTATCTTTAGAGGGAAAAAAAGGGGGCAGACACACAGCAGGATGGTGGCTCTTGAAGACAAAGGTGAAGTTTGCAAAGTGTGTGTATGAGTGTGAGCACTCAGGACAACGCCTGTGTGGGGACACACCAAACTGCAGGGGTGGGGAAGGGTGAGTGGAGGTGCACTTACTCGCAATTTAATCACTTCTATATGATTTGAATGTTTTATTGGGTATTGATCACTTTTGAAATTAGAAAGAGACTAATAAAGATTTTTAAACATGACATCAACAGCAAAAATACGAGTGAACTGCAGACGTATCATTGTGGAGGAGATGTGAGGACAGGAGTGGGAAGTGGGAGCCAGAGATGAGCACAGGCAGAGGGGTGGCCAAGGCGGGTCAGGGAAGAGTGGTATAACGGGCCCTGCTCCTCTCCACTCCTCCCTGCTCAGAGACAGCATTCAGTGACCATGTCTGTGAATGAATATTTGATGAATGCTAACCTAAAAGGAAGGAGTTAACCACAAGGAGTATAAGGTGAGCCCGAGAAACAGCAAAGAGAGGCCCAAAGAGAGACAACAAGAAAGAAGGAGGCCAGAAAGCCAGACTAAGAAAGAGAAGGACACACGATGGGAAGGTAAAATGGCTCAGCCATGTGGAAAACAAGATGGCGGGTGCTCAAGAAACTAAACATAGGGCTGGGGATGTGGCTCAAGTGGTAGCGCGCTCGCCTGGCATGCGTGCGGCCCGGGTTCGATCCTCAGCACCACATACAAACAAAGATGTTGTGTCCTCCGAAAACTAAAAAATAAATATTAAAAATTCTCTCTCTCTCTCTCTCTCCCCCCCCCCTCTCTTTAAAAAAAAAAAAGAAACTAAACATAGAATTACACATGATCCAGCAATTCCACTTCTGGGTATAGACCCAAAAGAAGTGAAGGCAGAGACTTGAAAAGATATTTGTACATCCATTTTCATAGCAGAATTAGTCACAGTAGGAAACAAGGGCTGGGGACATAGCTCAGTTGGTAGAGTGCCTACCTCGCATGCACAAGGCCCTGGGTTCAATCTCAGCACTACACACACACACACACACACACAAAGGACAAAGATTCTGGAACGTGCTACAAGACACAAGACGGATGAACTTTGGAGATATACTAAGTGAAATATGCCAACACAACAGGGTAAATACCATATGATTCCACTCATGAGGGGCCTAGTGTAGGCAAACTCCCAGAGAGGAGAAAGGTGGCTGCCAGGGACGGGGAGGGGTTGTGGAGATGGGGAGTCAGTGTTTAATGGGGACAGAGGTTCAGTTTTGGGAGATGACAAAAGTTCTAGGGATGGCTGGTGGTGACACTGCACCTCAGTGTGAATGCAGTGGCTCGTGTTCTGCGTGTTCTGCGTACTTTACCACAGCAGGAAAGAGAGGGGCAGGGAGGCGAGGGGCAGCGCTCACCTGCTCCTTGGTGCGGCCCTCACGCTCCCGGATGTGGGTGGTCACGATGCGCTCCATCTCCTCCCGCAGCCGAGGGTACTGCTGGAGCTGGGAAGGGCGGGAGGCGAGAGAGCCACGTGCATGGGGGCCATGGGAGGGGCCCCGAGGCCCACCAGAGTCTAGGGGCCCAGGGACAAGGGGACAGAGGCGAGGCGGGAAGAGGGCCCGGGATCCCAGGAAGCTGATGGCACCAAGCCACGGCCACCCCTAACCCCAGCGCGTGATTCAAAGGTCTTCCTGGCTGCGGGCCCTCTCTGAGGCCTACTGGGGCAACTTCTGATGGGAAGGGTAGTTCCGGTGGTGAGGAGCACCACAGGAACCAGCCTGCTCCCTGGACAGCTGCCATCTTGGAGAATGACCAGAGGGATGGAGACCTTTGAGGACCATTAGCTCCCAAGGTGTGCACTGGCCCTTGGGGGGCTGCCCTTTGCCTTCTGAAGGCCTGGAGGGGCAGCTGGGTAATCAGGTGGGGAAGGGCCTCGAGTCCTATCCAGGAGGAATTGGGGGGGTCAGGGCCCACGGTGCCAGTTGGCCTCCTGAGTCAGGCTGGGCACAGGCAATGCTCCTTGTCAGAGCTGAGGAAGGGGCAGGTTTGCAGGGGGAAACCAGCAGTCACACCAAAGGACATGCAGGAGCCACAGGCATGCGAGGGCACGGGGACATGCGGAGGTGGGGGTGCCAGCAGCATGAGCAGTACCCCGCGGGGGCCTGACTGGGCCCTGGGCCCTCTTGGTAAAATCCACCCAGTTCTGCCTCCTTTTGCATGCACCTGCCTGACACCATCATCCCCAGCCTCCTCTGCCCAGCTCCCGGCTGGCAGCCCAGGCTGACTCTACCCACTCCTTGGAGCAGGAGCTCAGCAGCACCCATTTCCCCAGCTTCTCCAAACTCTTCCCCTCTGCTTGTGAGTCCCATCATCTCAGCCACACTGAGCTCAGCCACCTGGACAAGGCCAAGGTGATTGACTGCACTGCAAGTGGCTGTTGGATGTCTCCTCTTCCAGAAAGTCTGCCCCAACCAGACCACTGAGAGCTGAGTTAGGGGCCTCCCTGTGGCACCCAATCTCCCTCGTCCAAATGGGCAGTCCTTGTCCCAAAGGCAGGGGTGGAGGGGCCAGGCATGCCTCCAGAGCTCAAAGAGGCATGTAGAAGGGATGGGGGAATGAATGAAGGATGATGTCTTTGCCCTTCTTGTTGGGCTGAGTGGGCACAGAGTCCCTGACCCTCTGGCTTGTGAACAGCTCTTCCTCAGGGAGGGAGGCTCAATGAACTTCAGATGGTGTGGCCCACACAGGGGGACCTCCAGTCCTGCTGTCTGCCCTCCCTACGTGAGACCCAGCTGGGCCAAGCTAAGACAGCTCCCTGTCCCTCTTCCCATGCTTGGGTCCAACCCCTCGACGGACCCCCCTGTGTGGGAACAGAGCTGGAGTTTGGTATGCCTGGGTCACAGGTGATTCTGAGGGCAAGACGGAGGCCAAGGAGCTGGGAGGGGGCCAATCAGGGGGATGCGGAGAGAAGCAGTACCCTGGAGGCCAGCCCAGGAGAGGCCGCCGTGAGATGCCTAGGTCCCACGGTTCTGTGGCTGTGCCAAGGGTGTGGCTGGGATGGCCCAGCGCAAGGGACCTGGGGAGGGGCGGCCTGTGAGCAGGGGCTAGACATACTGCTGGCGGGACCCAGTGGACCCTGCTGCCCCTCGAGGCTCAGGGAGGGGCCCCCACTCCTCAAAGTCTCCTAGTCTGGGTAGATTGTGGACTGAGTCATCACTACTGGGCCTCTGAAGTGGCCCCCAAGGCTCCCCCTCCCAGAGCAGGGTGGGAGGGGGGCAGGAAAAGGAGGGAGGAGGGAGTATTTTGCCAAAGAGCATGACCCGTCCTCCCACCGACTGCCTGGATGTTGCATTTCTCAAGTTTTCCACGTGTCACATGTGGCAGGGCAGCCTCAGCCCCTTGGAGGGTTCTATTCCTTGAGCATCTTTTTCCATCCTGGCTGCTCTGAGCATTTCCAGACTTCCAGCCAGTTTTTGAAATGGAACTTTTCTCTCTCAGCTCTTGGCTGAGCAGGGCAGGCAGCCTGGAGCCCACTGGCTTAGCGGTCAGGGCTGCAGCTCCTAGAGCACAAGGCCCTGGGTTCAAAGCCAGTCCCTGCCTGCCAGGTCTGCTCAGAAAAGCCACGGGACCACCCTGAGTCTCAGTTTCTCTGTGGGGTTGCTGAGAAGATGGAGTAGCACCCGCTGCCTCCTGCATCAAAGTCTGAATTTCACCCAGAGACAGAGAAGTCTGATTCTAGCAGGGCTGGCAGTAATTAGAATTAAACATTTATCAAACCTTCAGCAGGAGTGATTTGCTCAGCTCAAAAACTTAGGAAGAAAAAAAGAAAAGACAAAGAGGGTGAGTTTTGCCAAAGAAAAAATAATTACTGTCCATTAAACAAATCAAAAGGCAAAAGAATTATCTTCCTCCATTTAGACCAGTTTTCCATTCTAAAGTTTTTGTTGGCCAATTTTTCCACTCGCAAAAATCAGACATATAAAAGAATTGAACACAACTAAAATTTGTGAAATAGAAATAGAAAGATTACTATGTTCCTTTGCCTGCTCACAAAATAATGTTTAGCAATTTGGTGAATGCAACTTGGGGATTTTATCACTCAATGTACATTAATTTTCCCAAAATACTATATACATTCTTCTCTGAAACAATCATGTTTTCCCTCACAGGACATTCTGGAGGGACATGTGACTACAAACAAATATGTCTTGCCCTTTTAATAATAGCTGTAGCATTCCACTGTCTGTGTGATAGTGTACATAGCATTGATCCTCTTGATGGGCATCTGGGTCGTTTCCAAAATTTTACCATTTACAATAATTACTGCTTTCCTTTTGGAATGCAAGTCAGCAAAGTTTTTAAATTTTTATCTCTAGAAATCAGCCTTTTAGGAATCTAGATGAAGGATAGCCCTCAACAAAGAATATAATACATCTTCATGTACAAAGATGTTCACTGACAGGTTATTTATGTATAATATCAAAAAACTGGAGACTACCTAAATGTTCCATAACAGGAAAACCACAAGAAACTAATTCAATAGAAACTCGTGTTTCTATTCTCAATCTTTCTATGGACTATGTACTAGTAGCCCTGAAAATGTATGTTATTAAGAGAAAAAGCAGAATGCTCATATATTCCCAGTGTGTCTCCAAATAAAATAAACCAAGATGAAGAAAAAAGTTTCAGAGAGATAGTAAAGTTTTGGGAAGGTAATATCGCAGAAGTTATCAAAATGATAACTGCTCACCATCTATTAACCAGGTCAAAAGAAGAAAAAGAAAACAGGAAGGAGTTAAAGCACCCTAACTGTCCATCAGTAGGATACTGAGGACACAGGTCATCCATGAGGCAGCAGTGGCATGCCCCTGGCAGCTGAGGGGCATGGGACCAGTCTCTGGGCAATGGCATGCAACATTCCACAACCCGGTGCCCGAGTACAGAGGAGCCAGGGGGACAATTCCTGAAAACTCAAAGTTAAGGCAGCCGTGTACCCACCCTGCAGCACGGGAGATTTCTCAGACCCAAGAGAGACTGGGCTTTAGCCCCGAGACTGGTTCAGGCTACTTGTGGGGTGCGGGCAGCACTGGAGTCCTGGGCAAGCTCCCGCAGGCCGCGAACTCTCTTGTAAACCCCTGGAAGATGCGCTTTGGGTGACCTGGCTAAAAATCTTCAAAATGCTCAAGAGTAGACAGATAGGAAAAAGGCATCTAAAGGATCACAGACAGCTCAGAAGAGGCCGGCCCTGCCAAACACGCACGGATCACCGCAGTGAGTAATCCCATCTGCTTTTAGGCAAATTGGTTTTGAGGGACTGGGATGGCTCCCCACCCCAGGAAGCTCTGATCCCAGATCCCTTCCTAAATCGGAATCTCCTTCTGCTTTTCCTTTCTGAAACTGTTGGGTCATTTGTAAAATGGGGATGACACTACCCACTTATTAGGGTGGTCGAGAGGATTAAGTCACACACTAAGGGCAAGCCCTTAGCCCTGTGCGCTCACACAGTAGCTGCTCAGTAAACAGCCTCCATCTCTTATCATCCTTCTCATCCTAGTGGGTAGAAAGGGGTCACTGAGGACACTTGAGCTGCAGCAAAGTCCTCTGGCAGGGACAGGAGCCTGGGGGGACCATAAGCCCAGGGAGACCCAGGGTTATCAGTTGGCAAGAAACATCAGCCAGGGACCTCCTGGCCTGCACGGGTGTCTGGGTCTCTGCGGGGAGCCAAGAGGCTGCCAGTCTGTTTGGCAGACGGTTCTGCCCATGGGTGGCCGTAGCCACAAAGAAGGGACGGCCAGGCCCAGCCCCTCCCAGGCGGCCGCCATACCTTTTCACTACACTTTCTGATGGTGGTCGTGAGCTCACTGACTACCATATCCACACACTTGATACTGGGCTCTTTGAGCTTCTGCACCTGCTTTTTCACTGTGGCTTCAAAAGCGAGGTCAGGAGTGAAGAGGCCCGTCCTGCACCCGGGGAGGAGGGATCAGGGAGAGGAGGGGGTGAGAGCCAAGCAGCCGGGCTCCAGGGGTGGGGCAGGATGGCACAGGCATGGGGGAAGAGAGAGAGACACCGACACAGAGAAAGAGAGAACAGAAGACAACGTGAGCGTGGGACCCAGCCCTCCCTCCCCACCCGGGATCAGACCTCCCGGGCGCTGCCAAGATCCCCCAGGGCTCTGTGGGGATGGCCAGAGGTATCAGGGGCCAAGCCCCTAGCCCATACAAGATCCCTACTAGTCAGACCCTCACCCCCAGACTGACTGCCCCCACACTCTCCTCAGCTGCTCTAAGTTACCTGCTCCTTCTTTTCCAGTTCCATTTCTGTCTACAGCCTTGGGTCCTTCTAAGGAGCCGACCCAGGCTAAGACAGGTTAGGACCCCACCCACCCATCCTGCTCAGTGCTAGGATTCCCAGTGCCACCTGCACTGGCTTCATCCTGATTTCTCCATCTCTACCAGGGCTGCTGCCCAGGCTGGGCACTGCACAAATCTAAGGGCCTCCACTTGCATAAATTGTGATGCAGATGAGGCCTCCCAGAGGGCAGTGTAGCAGCCTGACCTCTGCTGTCCAGTTCCCTGCTCTACTCCTGCCACTCTCCCCAAGGGGAACCCCCTGCCTCTCCTCCAAAGGGGCCTGGGGAAATCAGTTCCAAAAGACAGAAAGAGAGAGAAGAAGAAAGACAGGAAGTGAGGTGGCAATAGCGGGCCAGGGCGGCAGTGGGGGAGGCAGGGAGGGAGGCTCGGGTGGGATCAGTGAGCTCTGGACTTGGAGCCCAAAGCCCTGGCCTAGCAACACTGCTGCCACCTCTTAGCTGACATGACCTTGGGCGAGTCACTTGGTCCCCTGAGCCTCAGTGTTCCTGCTGTGAAATGGGGGCCACCGTCCCTGCCCTGCCCTTCTCCTGTGGTTCTGCGAGGCTGGATGACATGGCAGGGGGAGATGGCTCGTCCCTGGAAGGCTGGATGTGAATGGAGGGGAGGGGAGGGCCTGAGTGGGGGGCCTGAGCAAGGGTGGGGTACGGGTGGGAAGATGAGGGACAGCAGGGGATCATGATACCCGCTGGTCCTGGGCCCCTGCACCCCTCTGGCTCCCAGTGCCGGAGAAGGCCTGGGCCTCATCTACATCCTCAGTTTTCCCCAAGACCCCTCCCTAGAGCATCCCAAGGTGACTCCACCTCTGTGGGCGGGAAGGGGGCTCAGGTACCCTCAAGCCCTATCCTCTCTGAGCTGGGGGGACCTCGTGGTGGGCTCTCAGGGTAAATGGCCAGCCACCATACCAGTCTCCCCAGCTTCCAATCCCTCGGTCCCCAGGGCTGGAGCTTGGGGTTCCCTCTGCTGGCCTGTGGCTGCCTGCCTCCCCCACCCCGCTGAGGCCTGTACATGCTACCGAGGAGGCAGTGGGGACTGGGGAGGGAGTGCCCGGCAGCAGTGCAGGGTAGGGACAGAGGCAGGCTGGCCCGGGTTACCTTCTTGGTGCACTGTCTAACGGTGCTGATTAGCTCCGAGATAACCATGTCCACACACTTGAGACACGGTTCTCGGATCTTCTTCACCTGCTTTTTCACAATGGTCTCAAAGGCCATGTCTGGGGTAAACAGCCCCGTTCTGAACGCCCGGAGCGGGAGAAGGGCACAGTGTCACAGGCCAGCACCTGCCAGAAGTGACAGGCCAGGGCCCCTCCCAAACCTCTGAGCTGGGCGGGGGCGGGGGTCCCATTACTCTCTCTGGGCTTCAGTGTCCCCACCTGTCAGATGGGTGAAGGGATTCTAATGAGGGGCTTTCCCTACATGGTCTTTGGGGGCAAGACAAGGGCTGCTTGTGTGCATTCATATGTCCTGCTGCCTCTCAAGTGGTCCTACAAAAAGCCCTGTGGCCAGAAATGGCTTGGCAATGGCCAAACTGGGTTCTCCCGAAGAGCCGCCCAGGAGTGAGCACCTTGGCCAAGGTGCTCATCAGCAGGTAAACTCCAAGTCCAACCTGGGATTTTCTCTTCTAGTTCCATTTCTGTCTACAGTCTTGGGTCATTCTAAGGAAACCGAAATAAGTCTGCAGGAACCCAGGGACATTTCAGCGTGGCACTAGGAAGTGCTTCACATTGTTCTGCTGCCTGGAGAGGCTGAGTGAGCACAGTGCAGACCTGCGTCTCTGCAGGGGTCTGAGCTGTCAAGGAGAGAGTCTGCCTCCCAAGCCTTCCTGCTCCACAGGCTGGATGGCCTCGGGAGGTGGGCGAACGGTCAACACTGGGCTGATGGGGATGGGGGAGGGTGTGGTGGGTTGATGCTGTGCCCCAGGCCCTGCCCAGTGGTGTGGGCACCTTTGCTCAGTAACCTGGCTAGGACTGGGCGGAGATGCCTCACCCTGGGGAAGGGCAGGGCCCAGCCCTAGAGGGTACTTCGCAGGCCATCTGTACTGTGGGCTCTGTGCCCTGCTCCCAGGCCCTGCTCCAGGGATAGTAGAGGAGGCCATCGGGTTGCAAGGAGTGCAGTGGTCCAGCCCCCCCCCATCTGCCTCCCCTGGCTGGAGCCTGTTGAGCTGGGAGCTAGGAAGTTGGGATTGAGGGGACTAGGAGCAGGACTCTCAGGTCCTTCCTGAGGGGGGCCACTTCCCTGCTCTCTGCGTCAGAGCTAACCCCCCCTGCCCTCTGGGGTTCAGCCCCCCTCCCTGGTCCCAGTACGTGCCTAATGCCATGGATATTCTTGATGGCATAGCTGATCTCCCTTCGAAGTTCTTTCTCATCAAACTCCATCTATGAGGACAACAGAGAGAAAGATGGTCAGGGCCTGTCCCTGCTGCGTGGGAGGCCCAGACAGGGCCCTCCCCACTCACAGGGCCGAGCACCAGGGCCTTTGGAGAGTTAAGCAAAGGACCACATCAGAATGTCCTGGGTGGGAGTGGAGACCTCCTGAGTCCTCCATCCCTGGGGCTTCCTGTCCTACCTTGACTAGCTCAAAGGGGAAGCGTTCATGGAAGATCCGGTTAATGCGGGCTCCCCCAGACAGCTCATAGGTGTCGATCTGGTCTCCAGAGCCCTCAATACGCTTCTCAAAGTCCACTGCAAACTGCTGGACCATCCTGTGGAGAGAGGTATGGCCCCGTGGAGAGAGCCCTGGGGAGTCCCGTGCTGAAGAGGGTGCTGAGAGGCTGGGGCGGGGACAGCTCAGCAGTGGGACGTCAGGGCCGGGAGAGGCTCACTGGAGCAGGGCCTTGGTCTTCCGTGCAGGGTCATCAGGGCGGAAGTTCTTATACTCCTCCACCTCCTTCTCGATGGACAGCAGCTGGCTCTGCAGCTTGTTCCGCAGCCCAGGCAGTGTGTCCCGGATGTGGTTCGTCAGTTGCTGGGTGTGAAGGTGAGGAAAAGGTTAAGGCCACAGAACCAACCCAGCTTCCCAGGGAGCCAGGGAGAGAGCGGGCTACCAGGGGGCCTCGCGTATGTGGTGAGGTGGACACTGGAGGGATGGGCATGGGGCCACCGAGGGCTGCCCTGTCTCCAGAACAAAATCTTCTTGCAGGCAGGCTTCCATTTGGCATGAGTACACAGAGGTGTATTATTTGAATTAATGAGCACATAACTCAATTTTCAAACAAAACCAGAAACCCGGATTTGTATTTGACATTACTTGATTTTTGACCAGTTTAACGTTTTCAGATATCATAAAGGACAAACCAAATGCCTCTAACGCAGGGGAGGCTGAGGGCTGCGCCCTCATTCCCTCTAGGGTTCAGCCCTTCAGGTAATTCTCAAGTTGAGGCGCCCACTCTCACTAGGTCCCCCCACACTGTATCTCCCTGTATCTTCCCCGTATTCTATGAAACAGGCTCTGGCGACATTTCCCCATTTCATAGATATAGGAATACAGGTGCAGAGAGCTGGAGAGTGTCTCAGTGCAGGCTGGAACCCAGGTCTGTGGCACTCCCCACTGCCTCTCTCCTGTCAAAACCCACAGCCCTGAGTTCTAGAGGCCCATTCCAGATGGAGAAGCACCCAGGGAAACCCCTGGGGGTGCTGACCCCAGTCTAGGATCCATCTCTCCTCATCTCGAAAGGAACCAGGTCTTCAGCTGAGTACACACCAATCATGGCCCCCAAACCAAGCCCTTGTTGCTGCCCCCCTCCACACGAGGGTCTTGGCCTTTTCTATGTCCCAGGAGTCTGGGGTTCCCCAGGCAGGTCCCACACAGGGTCAGCTGCAAAGCTCTGTGGCCATGGGATGTGGGCAGCCTCCTTTGCTTTTCTGGGTGTTTGTCCGTCTGCATGATGGTGCGAACCTCTCAGTCTCCCTCAAGATACATTTAAATTACTCTTTGGTCATGCTGGTATCTCCAGGCCCTATCCTAGCCTGTGCCCCTACCTGGTTGAGGACCTTCTGCAGGTAGGGTGTCCCCATGCGGTCAGCCAGGTGGCGATAGGATGGGTGGGAGAGGAAGAACTTGCGCTCAGCGGCCAAGGCAGCCGTGATGTCCTTCTTGCCATCTATGTCCTTCTGGCTCCTGTTCACCACCCCAATGTAGCCTGTGGGCCAGTCAAGGTCAGGAAAGCGGCCTTCTCAGGAGTGTCCAGAGGGGCAGGCAGTGGGTAGGGGAGTGGTCGCCTACCTCTGCGCAGGGGGAGCAGCTTGTTCTCCAGCACATCCCTGGCATCTGTGCCCTCATCCATCAGGTCCAGCTTGGTGATGACCCCAATGGTGCGCTGACCTGGGGGTGGGCAGCAGGAGGGCAGTCCTCATGTAGACCCGCCCTCAGGAGGAAATCCCCAAGCCCACCCACCCTGCTCCCCCTCTCCCTGCCTATCTCCTCACCCACTCCTGGGACCCCTCTTATATTTTACACAGTGACGTTTAAAAGCATGAATCTGCTCCCACCGCTATTCCACCTAGACCCTGCAGGGGCTCCCCCTAAACTAAGAAGCAACCACCCCCGGGCCTGGCACACGGACTGCCAAGTGGGAACCTACCCTGGGGGTCCACCTCCTTGGCCACCTTGAGGGCATCAGAGTTGGCCAGGTCGGAGTTGGCAGGGGACACCGCCAAGATGAGGCAGTTCTCCTTGGTGACGAACTGCATAAGCATGTCTCGGATCTGGAACTCGATGTCTGGAGGCTGGTCTCCCACCGGCACCTTGGTCATTCCGGGCAGGTCCACCAGCGTCAGGTTCAGTACTGGACAGGACGACAAGAGGGATGGCTCAAGGCAAGGGGCATGACCGTGGGCGCGCAGAGTTACAGAACAGGGTCGGACCCACGGGATCCGGGTGGGAGCGGGGTCTAAGGAGGACCAGGGTAAGGGCTAAGGATGGGCGGAGCCACGGCGGGGTGGAGCTCGGGCTAGCAGGGCGTGGAGGGGGGGCGGCTGCGGGGGCGGAGTCTGCACCAGAAACGGGCGGGGCCCAGAAAGTGGCCTGGGGGCGTGGCTAGGCAAAGAAGCCAGGAGGGCGGGGCCAGGTCTCACCGTGCGGCGAGTAGACCCGCAGGTTTATCGGCACCGGAGAGATGCCCTTGTTGGTACCGGTGACCCGGTCGGTCTCGGCCTCGATTTCCAGGCGCACCTCCTCGAAGTCAGTGAACTTCTTCCCCTTGCAGTGCAGGAACTCCGCGTATTCTGCTCCAGAAGCGGGTAGAGGAAGGGGGCGAGCATCACAGTCCGGAACCCACCAGCGCCCCATCTCCCACCAGAAACAGACTGCAAACACTTTTATCTCCCTTGTTCAGGTAAGGAATGGAACCCGAGGAGGGAACGAAGCCCTTGCTTGGTAACTTTCAAGTTCAGTAGAAAGGCAGCCCCTCACCTTGGGGCTGATGGAGAGCATGTACCTGTGTTAGCATTGACCAGCTGCAGGACCAGGGGACGTCGCGTGACAATGCCAGATCCTCGCGGCAAGAAGTCCCTGCAAGGAGTCAGGGATCAGAGGAAGGTCAAGATCAGGAGTACCAGTTCTGCAGCTGGGAGATCCAAAATCCCCTTAAAGTGCTGACCCCACTGCACCTTAGAACAAGGGCTTCAGATCCTGAAGGGGTGATGCCACCCAGAAAAGTGGAAAACACCCTCTTCCAAGTCCCCACATAATTTATGCACCTAAGCTGCCAGGAGACTACACCAGCAATTCCCCAGATGCCTCTTAGATATGCCCTGTGTTGGTTCAGGACCAACAGGAAGTTCCTGCCCCAACCCAGCCTCAGCCATTCAGCCTGGGGGAAACTCAGGTATGGCTGGCCTACACCCTCAGTGTCCAGTGGCCACAGAGTGGATCCCGAGAAACGGCCCTGCACTTCATCCCCTTCCTTTCACTGTGGGGAAGGGCAACATCTCACTTCCCTTTTCTCAGGTCCCATCTGGCTGGAGTTGAGGACAGGCAGATGCAGGGGGGAGGAGGCAAGGAAAAGAACTTGGGCTTCAAAAGTGCCCACTGTGTGCCAGCTGCTTTGTGGGCCATATCTCTGGACTCCATACAGTAGTCTCAGGAGGTAGTTGCTGTTACTATCCCCATTTTATGGATGAGGAAACAGATTACACAACCAGTACCTAGCAGAGCAGACCTGGACTCCATCTGTTCTACCGTGCAGTGAAACCTCTCTGTTCTCAGCCCCCCATGGATCCAGTCCCTATGGATCTGGACTGAGGGGTCACAAGTCATTGGTCTCCAGACCCAACAGTCCAGTCTGTACTTCAGACATGGCTCATGCTGATGTCAACCCCAGCTGTCCTTTTGGCTGAGTCTTGAGGGTGCAAGTACTCTGTCCTGTCAGCTCTTCTTGTTCCCCCACCCCACCCGCCTCGCCCTACTCCACCCCAGGCAGACACGAGGGCAGAGGCCTCTCCAGGAATCAGGCTGTCATGGGATCCCCAGGACCCAGGAAAGGGGGAAGCAGGCCAGAGCCTGAGGGACTGTGGCCAGCTGCCTCCCCATGGAGCACCACATGGAGACGCGAGGGGAACACACAGGACTGACTGAGCCAGAGGCAGAAGCCAGGTCTCCCGCCACCTGCCCAGGGCCTGACTCAGATTCAAGGCCTGGAGCAACAGAGAGGCCCAGGGCTCCCAGGTTCAAGGCCCCCTGTTGGAGCCCTCGCCTGAGTCACCTCTGGGGAGAGCAGAGCTGGTGAGGAGGAGCCAGTGGGAAGGAGATGGGAGGAAGCTTCTTCATTTTCAGGTGCCAAGCAAATTTCATTGTTGCCAGACTATGAGCTGCGGGATGGCAGGGCCAGCACTTTCTCTCTGTCACAGATCCCAGGGCTCAGAATCCCAGTATTCCAGAGGTGCTCAATAAATTCTGAGTGAATCCCAACTCCTCAAACATGCTCTGATATGGAAATTATAATTTTACAGATGAAGCAATTGAAGCTCAGAGAGGGGAAGTGACTCACTCAAGGTCACACAGCAGAGCTAGGATTATTCTTCTCCTTGCATCTATTTATTTATTTATTTATTGGTGGTGGTGCTGCTGGGGATTGAACCCAAGGCCTAATGCATGCTAGGCAAGCAGTCCCAACTGAGCTATAACCCCAGCCCCCAGAGCTGGGATTATCGTAGAAGTTGCTTTTGTTGGTTTTGTTTTCTTGTGGTGATGAGATTCAAACCCAGGTCCTTGCACGTGCCAGGCAAGTGCTCCACCACTAAGCTGCCTCCCCAGCTCCAGAGCTGAGATTCAAACCAAGTGCAGGCTGGCCCCCAGAGCCTGGAAACCTCCCCATCCAACTGTGTCACCCCCTAAACCCGAGGAGCCAGACTCAACTTTTTATGTAATTCAATTCAATCTGATCTGTGCCAGGCCCTGTGCTAGGCCCTGTGCTGGGCCCTGGGGACGGGAGATGATGAGTCAGACAGCTCCCCACCCCAGGCGCTCGCAATGTGGCGGAGGAGACAGGCAAGTAAACAGAACATGCAAGTCTGTGTGGCCTGCACTGCAGAGTGGCTGGCACACAGGGCGGGGCCTCCTGGGGGGACCTCCTCCTTTATCTCTCCTAGGTGTTACTCAGTGACTCCTTGGGAGACAACCCCTCAGTTTTGGGGGACCCCCAGGACCGTGGAGATAGGACAGCTGTTCTCATAGAGGCTTCAGTGGGCGTGGGGGCCTGGGGTCCACCTTCTTCCCCATCAGCTCCTTGCCCAGCAATACCATGGCAACTGCTGTTGCCATGGAAACTGCAGGAGGGGCTGGAAAGGCTGGGACTCCCCACGGAGAGTCCCCCAGGCAGAGACATGGACCTTGCCTAGAGTTCTTCCCCCAGAGGCATCCCCCTTGAGCAGACGGGCCCACCCCTGAGCGTGGAGGTCTCTGAGGTGCCAAATAGGGAGGGGGTATGCAGAGCCCAGGGCCCACCTAGGCAGGGTGATGGGTGGTCCGCGGCCTGGACCAGCCTGCCCCACATCACTGCCTCCCTGGGGCTTCTTCAAAGGACAAGCAGCTTACGGACAGCAGAGATGAGCGGGCAGGGCCATGTCTGGGGGAAGAGTCTCTCCTCGGCAGGGTGGGCATGGGGGTGCCAGGGAGGGAGGTGTCCCATTGCTCTCAGGGCCCAGGTGCACAGAGTGCGGCACACCAGGATTCTTGAGGCAGCTTGTGCAAACGCACAGCCTTCAGACATGCAGGGAGGCGGGATCCGGATTCAAACCCCATCCCCACATGGCCGTCTTGCTCCCTGTCAAGTTTAAGGCTCACTGGCTGAGTGGTTCAAAGCCCGTGCAGGCAGATGCCCTGGACTGGAACCCCACACCTGCCCTTCCCCGGCCTGGTGGCCCTGGTCACGTCCTTTCACTCTCCAGGCCTCAACGTCCTCGGGCGTCACAGTGACCCTGCCTCCTGCACTTCCCTGCCCGCAGCAGTGGAGGATCCACGGAGCTGGTTCACACCAGAGCTGAGCCCAGGCCTGCCCCGCAACTGGAGCGGGCTGCTGAGGGTCCCCTGATCTCACTGCCCCCTGGGATGATCCCCAAATTCCATCAACGATCCCCAAATCCCACAGAACCCTCCACCTCACTTCTTCTGGCCACCAAATTGAATCTCGGGATCCTGATCATGAAATGTTAGAGGGAAGGATGGGAATTTGAAGAGCGGAAGCTTGTGGACAGTGTCCCATTCCTCCATAACTGTCCAGGAGGTGGGACCAAAGTCCAGAGAGGGCAGGGGACTGGGAGGGCACACGGCGATGGAGAGAAGGCCCGGATGAGCCGAGAACCTGGAGGCCAGCTTCCCAGTCCCAACGACTTGACAGACAGCACCGAGGGCAGAGCGTGGCACAAGGGAGGGCTCAGGCAATGCGGGAGAGAAGGAGCCGGGCTCGGCCATTCCTTCCCCTGCCTACGCTGTCCCACTCGGCGCCTGTTAAGGCTAACGGATCCCTGGGGGGAATCAGCCTGATCCAGCCTCCAGTCAGTGGCACCCCTGCACCTCCTGCCCAGCTCCTGCCCAGGCAGAGGGAGGACATGCAGGTGCCCAGACAAAGTGTCCGGGGCCCAGCAGCGGCGGCGGCGGCCTCGTGCTGCTCCACGCGGGGGAGGTGGATGGTGGCCTGCCAGCTCTCCCACTCATTTCGAGCAGATGGTGGCTTCCCAGGGAGGCCTTGCCTCGCCATCTGCAGAGGCACCTTCAAACCTGGAGCAGAGAGGACAAAATGAACACCTCAGGACCTCCAAAAGCCACCCACTCCCTGTCTGCTTTGGTACTGTCGCCCCCGGAAGGGGGTCTGGAGAAACTGCACCAAAAGGCTGAAGGGACCCCATCTCCACTCTAGGAGCTGAGATTCGGGGCCAGAGCCCAGGGATCCTGGTTCCCAACCCTGTTGCATAAAAGTGACAGTGGGGGGACCCACTAGTTCTTGGGCTTTGAGGTCAGACCTGCATGGACTTGTGTGGCCGAGGGCAAACAACCACACCTCTCTGAGCCTCAGTTTCCACATCAGGAAATCAGGCTGCTCCGAGGCTTATATCAGTTAATGCCTGAAGAACTGGCTGCCACCGTGAAGATAAATAAAGACGACGCTTCTGAGCCGCGGAGAGGGGTGGGGCTGTGCTGGGTGCTGAGCGGCGGGGAGCTAGAAGGAGGCTCTCCAGGCAGCTGGCTGGCCCGGGAGCTGGAGTGTCTAAGGCCAGATCTTGTCCTGAAAATGGAAGGCAGGGCTGGGCAGGCTCCAAGGTGCCCTCTGAGGCAGGGAGCTGGGCGCGGCAGTGGGTGGGCCAAGAAATACAGCAGGAAGGGGTGAGTCTGCCCTGGGCGACAAGCCCCTCTCTGTTCCCAGCATCCCAGAGGCCCCAGGGAGCCCGCAGCCGCCCACATCACAGTGCACGAATGCCAAGATGGGGTTCACATATTTTTTTTTCAAATGTTTCTACTTTTTAAAAAAACATATATTCTTTAGTTGTCAATGGACCTTTCTTTTATTTGCTTATATATACGCAGTGCTGAGGGTCCACCCCAGGGCCTCACACAGGCTAGGCAAGTGCTCTGCCACTGAGCCCCAGCCCCAGCCCCAGCCCCAAGGTTTAGATATTTCAAGACAGTTCCTTGACAGTCCTGCTGGTCCCAAGAACAGGGACTGGGCTGGCGCTGTTTCCCACCATGTCCCAGCACCTAGACACTCTGTGGCAGCACCCAGATCACCCTGCCCAGTGCCGGGATGACTGGAAGGTGAGCCCTCAGTGCCCCCTCAGCCTCACTGGGCAGGCATGGAGACCCAGGAGCAAAGGCCGGCGTGTCTGGACCCAAGGTTGTGGTCAAGCTGGTGACAGGGTGGGGTGGGCACCAGGGCTCTGGACCAGCACCCTGTCCTCGTCTTCCCCACTGAGGAGGATCTACTAACCCTTCCTTCCTTCCTTCCTTCCTTCCTTGATGTTCTTTTCTCTTCCTTCCTTCCGAGTGTTGATGGCTGTATTTCCAAAAAGGAAACATAT